ATTTTTTTTATCTTTTTTTATTTTTTTATTTTAAAATTACTGTTTAGTATTTATCAAATAAATACGTATGTTAACTACATGTTTTTTCATAAAATAACTGTTTAAGTTGTAATAAATAATATTTTATCAGTGACATGTCATTTCTTGTTGATTTATTAAACATAAATAATTTTTGATATTTATAGCTTTCATTAATTTATTATATCATAGAACAACGATTACATTGCAGTATAACAAAATTTTAATTAGAAAAATACTTTATTTCTTTTCATAATATAGTATCATTTTGACTTTTTCTTTTGAATGGACATTGATAAAAAAAAAAAATCTTGACGTAAGTACCTAATCACATGAATTTAATTAACATTACGGAAATAATAATGTTATTATGATAACATGCAATTAAAATTGATATTTAATTGTCGTCTTTAGTTGAAGTATTTTTTTTTTTGAAATGTTCATAAATCAGATATTTTGCCTCCGAACCTTAAGATATTTACGTGACGAAAAGAGAAAATGATTAACGTTAAAGCGAAAAAACCCAAAACGCACTTATACAGTACTTAGGAATATTCAATACATAAATTGTAAATTATATAGTGCTTTGTTTAATAACTCTTCAATGCCTTCAGGAATTCAATGATGATGATGATGATATTATATTAAATCAGTAAGTAGACGTACCTAAATGAATTGTTAATGTACCTACTCATATATGTGCACGGTCCACAGTCCCTCAGAAATTGTGTTATGCTATAATATTCGATTCACCACTATTTTACGAAACCACCCTTGCGATGCAGTAGACTGATGATGGTACAAACTTAGAACTTAAAAAACTTGAAGCCACTTCCCTTTCACAACAATACTTCACTACTTCCACTACAACCAAATCCAAAGTGATATCCTACAGGAATCCACACCTAATCCATAGTTAAGTGGTGATCAGCAAAGCGTGACGTATTATTATTAATATTAATTGAACCGTGATAAATCGAATCTCGATAATCCGAAAACCTTCATGAATCAAAGTTTTGTCTTTTCCTTTGAATAATGCACAACTTATTTTCCCCCTTGAGATTCGAGTTATTAAGTCTTGAGTGTACAAAATAATACTATACGCGCGCAAATGATCTACACGTTATTTTAAATGCAATAAATATTTATGATATTATGCACACAACAATAACACGCGTGGTTTGGAGTTACGTGCGGTAAGATGATATTTTACCTCTTGTTTAGGTAAATCAGCACATATAGTATGAAGCTAAGGTTTGTCGAACGCGAGTTCGAAAGACGCGCAATAACAGCTTCCGTCACCCACTTCCGGTTGTGGCGTAACGCGACAAAAGTTTACACAGTTTTCCCGGTTGACACTAGCACACTAACGCGTGTGACAACAACCCTAGTTTTATCCATACGAATGCAAGCAATAATGTTTCCTTCCGCAGGATATAATATTATAACCATTATTGTAATACCGTGTCGTATAATATAACCATGCATGGAATATCCATCGTTGAACTTTTTACCAGTCATCGCAGCACAATAAACTGAATTCGTCTAGTGTTGGTTATGAAGATAATATAATAGTAGTATAATTGTTGACTTGGTTGTAATATGCGACAAAACAAAACACAATCGTACACGGTAGAAGTCTATATCAATGATAATACGAAGTTTGTATTGTTCGTTGTCAACCCATTGCATTATTATCATTAACACTATTTCGATAAATTGATAATATAAAGGTGATGCAGTGATCAATGAGTTTCTATATTATAATTCTTGTTTCAATGACATTGAAAACATTTTCAATCGGTTCTACGATCATTTCGAAAATAATATTACTACTATCGATTTATAAAATTAAAAAAAAAAGTAACGTATTAACGGCAGCAGTGAATGTTTTTCTTTTATCGAATTTTTATTTTTGTTTCATTTTATCCTAAATATATAACCTATTTGAACATTCGATTTGGAAAATTCTTTGATTCTATTGAGAATAGAGAAGAATGAATTTCGAAAAATAACAATAAGTCTAACATTTAAGGAAAAACTTTTCATGAATAATACCAATAATATAGGTAGGGTAATATTTAATTTTCAATTTAGTATATATATAAACTACATAATATATTTAAAACCATAAAAAAACATAAACAATATAGTAGATTTACTTGTCATAAAATATAAACGTTCATTTTTTTATTGAATTTAATATATTATTATTCTTTAGAATTTTTAAAAAATTATAACTTATTTTTTTATATTAAAACTAATATTAGTAAAAATTATAATATTATTTATTTCAAAATCTTCATTTTTGTATTACATATTTTAATTATTTACCCATTTAGTTAATCATAATTTATTTGATCGTATAAAAACATTATTTCATATTTCACTTTACTAAAGAATATGATCGAAAAGTTACAACCTGAGTCGACATTTATCAAGAACTATTAAAGGATAGTTTTAAACTTAATAACATTTTAATACGGGCTTGTAAAATGGGCGAAAATAATAAATAATATATTGAAAAAGTGAAAAATCTAAAAAATTATTTATAAATAAACTATTTATATCGGTATATTATGTTATTATGTTAAAGATGTGAAATTGGGATAGTATTAATATTATCCCAATTTCATATTATTTCATATTAATATTATTTTATAAATAATATTTCATATTATTATTATTTTAATATTATTGTATAATTATGATATTATTATATTATCAAAGAAAAAAACCGTGTACTTACGGTTAAAAATTAACCATGATTATTATTTACCATGGCATTACTTTGCACATAAATCTTAATTATTTTATTAATTTAAGTATTATTTATTGATTTCTATGAATATTGGTAATTTTAATTATCCAAATTACACATATAATAAATTATTGTATGCGATTTTAGTTATATAAGTCTGTAATAATAGGATTACTTTGCTTATTAACTTTATAAAAATTGTATAGGTAAAATAGCAATAATTATAATAATCATTCATAAATCGTGCAGTAATATAAAATTATGCAATAACACAGTGTATTGTGGGTATTTCAAAATTATTTTTTTTTTTTTTTTTGATTGTCAGATTTGAGTAAAAGATATTGTTTTTATTTATTTATTATAACTGTTTACTCCCTAAATGTGGACACAATATTCGGCAGGAATTGAACCGAATCGACTGAAGGTTTAACGAACATGGGAAAAAAGTTTAAAAAGCTGTATAGTAATTCCCTACTGAGAGGATTCAGAAATGCAATAACAATGACACCGGCTTTTTTTAAGCCATTGACGCGTATTGACCGGATATTTAGCTTTTATTTTCAGAGGATCTTCTATTTTTCGATTGGAGAAATGAAAAAAAAGGTAAAAGAAAAATACAATAAAACGGTCAACGTGTTAAAGTACTCAAGTATATTGACATTTCAGGATTCGCATAGACTCGATTCTCAATTTCTAAGTGACCCTACTTTTAACTCTGGTTGGAGCGTTTAAAAAAAATAATTTGTCATTTTTTATTAAAATTTTTTATTCTTTGAGAGCGATTTAAAAAAAATAAATTATATATATTAAATTTTAGATTTGTATAAAATGAAAAAAAAATTGTACACATATTTTCTTGTTTAAGATAATTATTAAAATTATATTAACCTTTGACCAACATACTATTCCATTTTCAATTACCACCAACATAATTGAACAAGTCATACATTTTAATATTTAAATTTCCAAATTATTAATACTCTTTTAATAAATTACTTAAAAATCGGAGAGAAAACTATATAATCAATTGCAGTCTATATATGTAATAATATACTACTTTTAAGTTGTATTAGTTTACGCATCAGTTTAAAAAAACGAATGCAATATAAATAAGAGATAAAAAGAGCTAATCTTAAATAATAATAAAATTTAAAATAATCGAATTACATAATCGATTTTTATTGAGTATTTTTCTTATCGTTGCTTTAAAATTTGTTTCATAAGGAATATGCATTTTTCTATTGCACAATAAATTAGCTAATAAAAATGTTTATTATGTTTGAATTATTTTAAACAACATCTGTCTTCCTATAGCAAAAACTCTTTAATTTTGATTTTAGATGAGACCTAAACAGTTATTGATAAACAAGTGTTAATGTTATATGTTATGTTACATAAGGTCTGAATAAATATAATATCGAACCTCAATACACGGTTACTTATAAATGTTTAAAATTTCTTATACTCTAAAAGGATGAATTTTCAAATCGGAAATAAATCGAAATTACTATGTTTATACAATAATAATAATGATAAAAAAAAAAAAAATGGTTTGCACACTTCAAAGTTATAGTAAAATAAAATTTTATTGAAATAATCACCTGTATAATAAATGGAAACTCAATTATTGAAAAGTTCTTTGTTTCTCTCTCTCTCTCTCTCTATACATATATACACACATATATATATATATATATATATATATATTAGTTAAAAATGAAGTCCCTAGGCGTTTCTTTCTGTGGAAAACATAAAAAACCATCCATAACCTTAAGCACAGTTAGCCCACGTAGATTATTAACGGTTTTATGTTGGCAGAGTTATCCCTTAGCAAACGGCTCGGAAGCATTTTAAAATGGTAAATAATATTACGAACATTAATCCATGAAAGGATAATTTACAACCACCTCCTTCTATTCACGTGTCAAAAATATATGGCTCTTGCCACGACGATCCGGATAAACGATCTAACTAATCTGAAACGCTAAAAATATGCTAATCCTATTGCAATAATGCAAAGATGAATTTTATATTTATTTTTATGTCTGTTTTTGATATTATACAATATATATTGTCAATAAACTACGGACATTATAAATTTTAAATTATTTTATTACTCTGTTAACAATATAATATACTATATTATTAATAATGATTAAAAATGTACACAAATTATATGTGCAAAATAATTTAAATTTAATGTTTTTTGTTTTTTTTACAGATACATTTAAAAATTAAAACCAGCAGAAAATCATTAATCTGATACTGTAGGTAAGTTATCATAACATTTTAATTTGGTAAAGTTAATTATTATTTTTTTTTTTTTTAAGTAATTTTTAAAGTAAAATTTATAGTATTTGAATATTGTTGATTGCTCGATCACATATTGATTTAAATCTTACTTCGTTTGTTTTAAATAGTTAAAAATTTAAATTTTTAAACGGCAACTTATATCTACTAATTTATAAATTAAATCATCACCTATTTATATATATTATTATATAAAATATTAGAAATATATGTTATAGTTTTTTTTTTTTTTTTTTCACAAGTTTTTTGAATGATCGTGATCAATCAAACTGTTCAATTAATATTATCACTCACATATCATTTTGTATGATGGAATTTAATAATAACGAATTTTGTACTAAATGTGTCGCATCATATATTGTATTAACACATACACAAACAATTATTTTTTTTTATTGTACGTCCTGAATTTATTTAATAATCCAAAAGTTATAAAAACGAAGTGATCTGTTGAATAGTTTAAAGACTTAATTCCTTAAAATTTTATAGTTTTAAATCATGTATAATGGCGAACAAATGATACTACAAATTCAAGTGTTTATTATGTATCAATAAAGGTTTCTATTTATCACAATATTTTTCATGATAATTTTCTAGTAACAAGAAAAAAAAAAAAGTTTTCTACATATTTATCAATGCTTAACGGTTATGGAGCTAATAACTTACCCAGCACCCAGGGAAAGCGTATTATCACTAAGATCTACTAACTCAATCAATAAAATATTCTTGTACTTGATTATTCATTATTATACCTAGAGTATATTAATTTGTCACAAATATACTACAATAATGATTTTTTTTTCGAATTCGATTATATTGTAAGATTCGTAGTAATAATATAAAGTTTTACATCTGGTGACAAATATTTTAGATTCATATCTTGGCGTTAGGTCGGTCAGTTGATGACTATATCTTTTGATTTAAAAAAACGATAAAATTAATAATTATTATTATAAGCTATCAATGTTATGAAAATGAAATTAATGGAAAAATTGTAAATTTGTTTACCCCCTACCCCCACCAGAACAAAAATTCTGTGTGTGTCTTCTTGGAGCAAAAAGAGTCAAAAATTGTTTATTACTATGCATACATCACAAAATTACGTGGTTATATTATTAGTTACAGAGATACGAGCCTTGAATGAAATCATTCCTATAATGTATTATTATTATACATACAAAGAACGAAAACCTGAGCCAGGCAGCGGGTTGGATCAAGACGTGTGAGCATACTTGTGTGTGTGTGTGTGTGTGTGTGTGTGTGTGTGTGTGTGTGTGTGTGT